CTAGAGGAGTGGGGGCCCATATTGTATCTCGGCTTCCCACTAATTTATTGTAGGTTGTATGACTTTTTGTTTTTGAGATATAATAATAATAATAATAATAATAATAATAATAATAATAATAATAATAATAATAATAATAATAATAATAATAATAATAATGTGGTAGGGACGGTTTACGTGCTCGGCACCTTATGGATTGCTTGAGTGGTGTTGCTGTGGCTGTATCAATAGAGTTAGTTGACTCTATTTCTGGGTGGTTAATTTCTTTCTAGTTGGATGATGTCCTATGCAACTGGCAAAGTATATTGCTAGTGTTCCTTTTACACCACTTGTTAAGCCCGATGGTGGTATTCGTCTTATTGTCGTGGGTATTGTTTGGCGGCGTCTTGTTTCGAAGGTAGGTGTTGTTATGGTTGGCTAGTCTTTAGGAAGTTACTTTGATGGTCTTCAATTTGGTGTTGATCTAAGGTTTCTTCAGGTGGCGAGACAATTCTTCATGCTGTGAATAGGTTGATTAAGGACCGTGGTTCTGATGTTGGTATTTCTATGTTGTTGGTGGATTTTCAAAATGCCTTTAATCTAGTTGATCGTTCGGTCATGTTACGTGAGGTTTGTCGCCGTTGCCCGGCACTACAAGAAAATAACCTTTTCGTAGCGATTATTTTAACCTTTAGTATCTATTGTAATTGCAACAAAAAGCTTTCCCAACGAATGGTCATTCGATATAATATCCCCCGTTGCCTTAGCCTTTAGTAGTGGTTTTCAATATCGCTGGGGTTGGCCTCAATAATCGATACGAAAAACTACATCCAATCGTAGTGATTATTGTAGCGATTACAATCACTATAAATGTTTAACTCATTTTCTTCAAAAAAAAAAAAAACATGCGTATGATCTTTACAAGATTCGAACATGCAACCTCAAACTCTTATATTAAATGTTTCACCAATAAGCTATGACATATTTTATGTATTCTTTGTCAAATAATATTTATATATCTAGTGTTGAAAAGGCTTTTCGTATCGATTTTTAGGATTTAGTGGCGATTGTAAATGTTACGATTTCTCAAAATTATATAAATGTGTAAAAATAGTGTTAATATGTATTATTATGTTTTCCGTATCGATTTTATATGGGAAAACCATGGCGATTGTAAAAATGATACGACATCCTTAATTATTTCACAAACATACTTGTATATTGTAGCGAATGTACAATCGCTACGAAATAATCGCTACGAAAAGAGATTTTTCTTGTAGTGCGGACATTTCGCAATGGGTTGAATTCTTCTATTCTAACCCAGCTAGATACTTTTGATGTAGGTCTTCAGGCTTGGTATCTGGATGCCGACACTGTTATTTGTGACACGTTGGTTGTGGAGAAGGTTTTGCAGTTGATTATGGAGGTAGGGCCTCATTCTGGGTTACATCTTAACGTGGAAAAAACTGAAGTTTTTGGTGTACAGAAGACCCTTAAAGCAGGTTTGTGGGTGTTTTCCACCTAATATTGGTCGACTTTTGCGTGGTGTTTTCCACCTAATATTGCTCGACTGATTCGGGGCCTGGGTTTGGTGATTGGAAGTGGCGGATTGCCACCTTATCATTTGCATTTGGAGGGCTAGGTATTTATTCCGCAAGTGATGTTCAACATTATGGTTTTCTTGCTTCTTGGTTACAATCTGCTGGGTTACAGACACAACTTCTACGACATACTGGTATTGTTGATCTTGGAAGAACCTTTGAGGATGCGTTGAGTCTGTTTAATAAGACGATGGATCCTGACATCTTGAGTAATCCTAGTGAGATCGCTTCCCCTAAAATTATGAAGAAATTAGCAGATATATATTTCACATAGGTTACCTCTTCTGCAGAATCCACCTATTCGTTAACTCCTCAACATGCAGCATTGTGGAAATCACGGCAGGGAGATCAAACCTCTGATTGGCTTCGGACGGTCCCTATTTCGAGGTTAGGTCAGACGTTTAACGCCAAGACTTACCAATGTGCGTTGTGCTACCGGTTGGGTGTTCCATTGTTCTCTACGTGCTTTGCTTGTTCAAGGGTTTTTACTGGGGATATTTTCGGTGATCATGTGGTGTCGTATGCTAGTATGGTGGATATTAAACATCGGTATAATGTTGTTCGGGATACTCTTGTTGATGTTTGCATTGTTATCGATATGGGATTTCAGCTAGAAACGAGGTTAGCATTGGGTTTTCTAGAGGCAATGACGTTGCCCTCAGACCTACAGATATGTTGCTTTATTCCTGGGATTGTGGTCGTGATGTCTATGTTAACTTGATAGGGTCTTCTCCTTTAACACAGTCTCTGACTTTGTTCCTAGACGGGTTGTGGTTGATGCAGCTCATTGGAAGCGAATTAAGTACAAATCTAGTTGTCGAGCAATTGGATATGGCTTCCTCCCTTTCTCTTTCTCTTCACTCGGGGAATTATATAAGGAGGCGGTTGCCACTACTAAAATTCGGCCAAATTGCGACCGCCTCTAGCGGTCGCTAAAAATAGCAAAAACGGTCGCTGAAAATAATTGCGACCGTCAACGGTCATAAGGTGGTGGTCGTAATTCAAATGGTCGCAAAAAATCATTATTACGACCGTTTGACGGTCGCAAATTTTTGCGACCGTTTGACGGTCGCAAATTTTTGCGACCGTTATTATTATTTTCAACAACCGTTAATAAAACGATCGCAAAAATAATAATTGCGACCAGTTAATTAAGCGGTCGCAAAATTGGAATTAGCAACCGTCTTAAGCCGTAGCTAAATTTTTTTTTTAAAAAAAAAAATCCCACTACCCCGTACTTCACATCCAGCCTCACCAACCACCGAAACCACCTTTACTCACCACCACTGCCAACCCAAACCACCTTTACTTACTACCACTGCCCACCCTAACCACGTAAACCCACCGCCGCTCACCTGAAACCACCTCAATCCACCGCTGTTCACCCGAAACCACCTCAACCCATCACCACCGCCCACAAAATAATAAAAAATTCAGAAAATTACCCACAAAATCAAAAATAAAACAATTATACAATAATTATACAAAATACAGAAAATTACCCACAAATATGAAATAAAACAATAATATAGATATTTCAAAAATTATAAACTAAAATTACAATAAAACAATTATACAAAATTCAGAAAAGCCACAAATCAGATTTAAAACAATAATATAGATCTTTCAAAATTTTTAAACTAAAATTACAATAAAACAATTACACATAATCAGAAATTAAAAACAATAAATATAGATCAACAATATAACCTAAATTAAACATCAGATCTAGAAAACCTTAACTTCTCTTAGACTCGTTCTTGTGACGGTGGAGGTCGTTACGGTGGCTCGAGTGTGTGGTCGTGATGGTGGCGCGAGTGTGTGTGCTGACGAGTAGCGTGGAGGAGAGAGAAAGCACCGACATCAACACCACAAGCAAAGCTTTCGATTTGAGCCGAAGCTAGAATGAGCAGCGATTTTCCGGCTTTGTTTTGTTTCATTTTCGGTAATGAAATTCAGAGAATTAGGAGATAAGAGCGAAAGAGGAGAATGAAGTAGAGAAAGGAGGGACATCAGAAGGAAGAGAAGGATAGAGAGGAGATAAGGAAAATGGAGGAAGATGGGCATGAGAAGAGAGAAAGAGAGAGAGAGAGAGAGAGAGAGAGAGAGAGAGAGAGAGAGAGAGAGAGAGGAAGAGCGGCTGTGTAAAAAAAAAGCCTAGGTTTGGAACCCTTTTTATACCCTATTTTAAAAATTAATAAAATATACAATTACGACTGCTAAGGTGGTTGCAATTCTCGCAAATAGCGACTGTTTAACAAACGGTCGCAAGCTGCGACCGTTTTTGGCGGTCACAATTATTTTAATTTTATTTTATTTTATTTTTGACATTTTTAAAAAAAATAAATTATTCAAATACCATTGCGACAGTTTAATAGATTAAAAACGATCGTAAACTTGCGGTCGCCTTTAAAACGGTCGCAAAATTACGACCGCCTATAAAACGGTCACAAATTTCCAATTTTACGATCGTTTTAATGATGGTCGTAAAAAATCAGTAGCAACAACAACAATAACATCAACAGCAACAACAACAGCAACAACAACAACAACAACAACAACAACAACAACAACAACAACAACAACAACAACAACAACAACAATAGCGCCAACACCAACAGCAGCAGTAGCAACAACAACAATAATAATTCTGAAATGTACTCTGCTATACTGATTTTTGCTCTACTCTACTGACTTTTGCTCTACTATGCTATGTTCGGAAGCTTAAAAAAATAGGACCTAGATACACAATCAAGGGAGGTATAGTGAAGTAGTGGGCAGTTACAATAAGTAGTGGGCACTTGGGTGGTAGTTATGCCTAAGTGAATAAGTTATAGGCCTATAGTCAGATGTTTAATAAAAGTGCGTAGTACATGTGTCATTGTGTGTGCGTGTTATTCATTGTTAGTTATGTGTGCGTGTTATTCATTGTTAGTTATGTGTGCGTTCTTGCATATTTGAGTGCGCGGCTGGTCTATACACCATCAGGCATCAGGCTTCAATCCTTCAAAAAAAACATTCAGCCTATAAAAATTCATGTGAAAATAACCTTTATTTTTTATTATTATTATTATTATTATTATTATTATTATTTCTACTCACTCAATTTCATGGACCCACCTCAAACTGGAATCATGACACATCCAATTAACCTATCAAATATTACTTGTTAATTAGTCGTGTTTTATTTAAATTTTAAAGTCCATATATCATATCTAGCATGCATATTCAAACATATTAGAATTGAAGTAAGTGAAAAAAAGATGTAGAGGAGAAAAAAGCCTTAATGACTTGTACAAATACGCAAAACCATGCATGAATGTATTTTATTTAACGATAAATTAATTTAGGACAGAATGTCAAATATATGCATACAAATATGAATAGATAGCCAATATTAGTAATCAAATGTCAAATATATTTGTTACAACGTTGCACATAATATTTAACGGAGGTAGTATTAAGGATATAAAATTAGACAAACCAAAATCTATACTGTATTATTAATAAGGCCAAATTCAAATACAATAGCTTAGCAATTAATTAACAAAACTCAAAACTCCAATCTACTAAACTTATCCATTTCAACCATAAACTCATCCTTAGCAAACTCTCTCAAGCACACCAAAACCTTAAACCCATCACCATCTTTCTTCCCTTTATCATTACTAGAATAAGGTAAGTAATAACATGGCTCAATACTCCCTAAAAAATGCTTGGAAAGAGGGTAAACCGTAACCGGACCACCCGATCCGAAATCAACCGTTGAATGACCAATGTGCCTCCAATCAGTAAACCCACTCACCTCCTTCCCCGCCGTTATCCCCTTGTCGTAGTTGTTCTTCTGGAAATCGATGTACGATCTCACGTATTCGTCGGTTGCGTTGTACTTGCTATTTTTAATCAGGGTTGCAGTCTCCCAAATGGGTTGATGGGTTACTTCTCCAGCAGTGAGTTGAACGTACATTTGCATGCATCCATTGCCCCAATATCCCCTAGGTAGGGGTGGACTTAGTAGCTTTCTTATGCTCATTAAGTATGCAAACTTGACTTTTGTATCGTTTGGTATATTTGATGCTTTCACCCTGTTTTGTTATACAAAGTGGAATAATTAGTTCCTTCAAACAAACAAATAGAAATAATTAGTTGTTGAATTATAGATACATAATTACTCCCTCTATGTCTCTTTTTTTTTTTTTTTTTTTTTTTTTTTTTTTTTTTTTTTTGGGTCCCATTGGACTGTGCATGCATGGTCTCCCAGACAGTCTTATAACATGAATAACTTTATTTTTATACGTGTAAAAATTATACTCCCTCCGTCCCCTTTTGAAATTTTCACGGGAATTAATGAACACAAATTAGGTTAGTTAAAGTACCTTGAAAAAGTAAATTAACATTGGGTATGCAAAAAAGTAGAGAGAGAAAGTAATAAAAGTATATATGGAAAAACAAAATTTACATGGAAAATTTAAATTTGCACACATATTATTGCAAATTGGAGGGAATTTTGGTAAAAAAATTAATATTAATGGTTGTTGAAAAAATCAAATAAGGTGAACATTTTGAGACTAAAATTTACCGATAAGGGACTATAAAAAAAGGACGGAGGGAGTAAAAATTTAATATTAATAAAATATACAATGAGACAAATTCAATAAAACTTCTTATGACCAAATTACCTCTCATTAATTAATTAATTAATGAGAATTTATAGTCAAAGTTTTTAAAGTTTCACCCCATTATTTGCAGTGAGGCAAAAAAATAGAAACATGCATATTGCAGAGTATCTAGTCTAGAATTTATAGAAGATAAATACAATAGTGTAATGCTGTGGGGCTAAAACTGAAGTATACTGGTCAATAGGATTATAGGAGTTTAATGATTTGATGAGCATCTTTTTAATTTTAAAGTTGAGTGTGTGCGAATAGTGTACAATATTGAAAAGTTGCAAGTAAATAAAAACAAAGTACTTGGTACTTCGTATACCACTAGCAATACCAATACAAACCTTGCTCGCCATATGAAAGCACCCAAGGCTTCAAACGTGGTAAACCGCGAACCGGACCGTTCAAACAAGTACTCCTTAAACCGGTCCAAACATTTCTCTAACACTGGGACACAAACCCTAACAGTCGGTCCAACATTTTGCAAATAAGGCGAAAACTCTTTATCCAAACTCAATAACTCATCGAACGGAAACTCTACTCGGGGAGGTTCTCTTGGACCAAGCAAAGTAGCTCGATCCCAAACCGGTTCAACCGGAAGCTGAGTCGCTCCTCGAGCCAACTCAGCCACCCCATTAAAAAACTCGGATGCACCTAACCCATCACATAACATGTTATGAACAGCTGACCCAAGAACATACCCACCACACTTAAACAAAGTAAGTTGTAATATCATGGGATGCTTCATTGCTTCTGTAGTACCCGGGTTCGGGGCTAGTGACTCGGCGAGAGTGTTGTCCGGGTCATCTAAGTAGTTAAGGGACTCCAGGGAGCAGTCCATGGAGGCCCTTATAATGGGGAGACCCTTTCCTGGGGTGCAATACAACTCAAACCAGCCACCAACTGTACGTTGGAGGGTACCGGTGAGAGGGTAATAGGGACCGAGGGCGGTCCCTATGGCGGTAGTGATAACATTAAATGGGTCGGGTTGGTGTTGAGATTGGTTGGCGTAGACACGGAAGTAGCGAAAGGTGACATTGAGGTTGAGGTCGGTGTCGAGGTAGGTGAGGGGGAGGGTGTGGGGGTGGTCGAAGGGAGGGTTGGAAGGGTGAATTGTTGAAGTTTCTTGGATAATGACTTCCATTGGTTTGATGGTTTTGTTAATTAGTTGATTGTGTTACTTCACTTGTGTAACTTGCGTGGTGTAATATAGACAAAATGGGTACGGTTGGTGGAGTACGCCTTGTCAACAAATAATTGTATTGGCGTTTGGCACAGATGATTTAGAGTAGTAATATTATTGGTCCATTGACCTCCGTTAACTATTATGTTCAACAAAGGAGTATTATTTGTGAGACATAAAATATTTCTTTGTTGCACATAATAATTAACGGAGGTTAAATTTTGAACAAAACATTTAATTATGTTAAAGCCTATGCAAGCAATGAGTTAAGACATTCCTAAACTATGTATGTGACCCAACATAATTCACTAGAATCGGCTTTGAAAGGTTATAATTTTTGCTCATTAATTCAACTGTATGTAGAAAAATTATGAGTAAAAAAAAAAAAAAAATTGAACCTCTTAATGTGTCCAAGTATGTAATAAGAGTTTTGTCACATCTTGTTGTATCAAACAAGAAAGAAATAGGAGACCTCAATTTTAAACACAAAGCTAAAGTAAACTAAATAAAACTCCCCGTTAGCTACTCGTAGTATACTAAATGAAACTCCTACATATGCTTCTAACTTTTTATAGATCATCTTTCATGTTTGGGGATTTCCCTTATCGCGCCAATCAAATAAGTTCCCTTGCCTTCTTCTTATCTTATTAAAATACAATAACATATACTTAAGTATATAGATATCAAATAATATTTTGTATGTTACTAAAAATCAATGTTCTATATCTATGATGGTGAAATCGTTGAAAGTTCTAGCTACGTACTAGTCCAACTTGACAGCGGATTACGAGGTTGGTAATTGTCTAAAGTAATCGCTTCCTGCCCTAATTATTGGCATTTGGCAAGCTTGAGTGCATGAATATAAACCAAATTGAATTAGTTTTCACTAAAAATTAAAACTAAATTGGAGCCTTTGTCAAAATATTGAATGATTAGTTGATGCACATATTTTTACCAGGTGAGTGCTCAATTTGTTAGCACCCTAGCTTAGAAATTTTGAATTTGATAATTTATTTTAATTTTCTTATACATGACATATATTTTGAATTTGATAATTTATTTTAATTTTCTTATACATGACATATAAGTTGAATTTAATTTTTTTTTTTTTTTTTGTTCCCTAATTGATGCTTACACGTGAACACCATTTGTCATACTACTCACACTGTCATATACATCTATAGCTAGGTAATTACGGGCCTGTTCACATTTACTGAACTGATTGAAGCTGAACTGAACTGAACTGAATTGAGCTGAGATGAAATGAATATTTTATGAGAGAATGAAATTAGGAGCTGAACTGAACTGAATTGATTGGAGCTGAACTGAAATTAAGTAAATATAAACAGACCCTAAGTGAAAGTTTTAATTTGAATTAGATAGTATTTTGTTCATCTTATTTTCATTTATTTTAAATATATAAAATAAATTAAGATAAAATAAGACGACTAATCAACTTAGTTTTGTTCATAAAAAAAGAAGGCTACTAAGTTTAATTTATAGGTAACATAAATTTAAATAACCTCCATTAAGTTAAAATAAGTTATCTAAACAAAAGGTTGATGAATAAGGCTATGTTTAGTTTAGTATTTTTTAAGTGCAATATGATCATAAGCTTTCATATGTGGCTGGCCACACCGTGTAGCGAACCATCATGGGATTACCTTATCAGTGTTATAGGGATTACTTAGTCAGTGTTACAAGGGTTACTAGGTAAGTGTTATAGGGGTTACTTAGTCAGTGTTCTAGGAATTACTTTATTGTTTTACTTGTTGTCACATAATATGGCCAGCCGCACACAAAACTGGATGTTATATTATTTACTTTAATATCACAACAAATATAAAAGTTCAGATCAAATAGATAAAAAGTGATAAGTTCATATCATCTTTATATATTCATATGCGATCGATTAATTTCATATGGAGTAGTATTTATGAAAATTATATATTTCCTCCATTTTTTTAATATTGCACCACTTACCTTTTAAGGAAGTTTCACATTTATTGCACCATATCCATTTTAGGAAAAGAAATTTACGTGTTCACACTATTAACCTAATATACCCTTGATTTTCAATCCTTACTTTTATTTTATGCATACAATCACATGGGTAACTTGGTATTTCTACCTTTCTCTCTCATCCTTTTTTCCACTACCAAAAAATTTGTGTCAAACCCTTATGGTGCAATAATAAAAGAACGGAGGAAGTACTTAAAAATTAAATTAAACTACACGTTAATACAAATCTAATAAGAACTCAAGTGATTTGATAATTTCATAGTATATCTTATGTTAGCTAATAATCCCACTTTATAAGATTATCATAAACTTATTTGATTTGATTAGAAATCACTTAAACTTTTAAGATTAGAATTATTGTACCGAGTAATAGGCTACTGACAAAAACATATTTTAGCTCGAATTTTCTTTACTTTTATTATTTCCACTCTTTGTTCACTTTAGTGGAAAAATTCAAACGCAAAAGAAAAGTTCTAACCAAAAAAAAAAATTAAAAAAAAAAAAAAATTACTAGTAAGAAGTCCTAAGAACCAATAATTCAAACTATAAAGTAGTAGAACTCGGACTATAAACATTGATTACTTTGAATCATTTTCTTTATTTCTCAGCCTAACTACTTGATCACTAAAACACCATAATTTCTAACAATTATAATGCCAATGTCTCCAATAGAATGCCCAAAAAATATCACCGAATTTGTCCGAAATCAAGGGCATGGTGTAAAGGGTCTAGCTGATATTGGTATTACCTCTTTGCCTAACCAATACATCCAACCCGAAGAAAAGAGGTTCAATGAACAAAAAATCACCCTTAGTAAAGATGGTGAAGATCACTCGATCCCCATCATCGACATGTCGAATTTAGAAAAGGATGAAATCGAAACACTCATTTGTAATGCTGCAGAAAAATGGGGGTTTTTCCAAATTGTCAACCATGGAGTACCTCTCAAAGTGCTAGATGAAATCAAGGCTGCCACGCACTGGTTTTTCGAGTTGTCGGTTGAGGAGAAGGCTAAGTATTTGGAGAAGAATTCACCTTCCAAAAACGTCAAGTATGGGACTAGCTTTTCACCTGACTTTGAGAAGGTTTTTGAATGGAAGGATCACCTTAGTCTCTTTGTTACTTCTGAGGAGGATGCCCTTGCTCATTGGCCTCTTCCATGCAGGTAAAGTTGTTAAAAACTTTCATTTATTTGGCTTTTGATATCTTTGATTTGTATGAATTCCCATGCACTATATATACTATATAGTGTTAGTTCCAACACTCTATGTGCCTACTCTTTTGCTCACTCCATTGCCAAGATTTGTGTTAAATTTCAAAAACTTAGACATAATATCTAGTTAATCTATAAAAGGTAATATAATTATTATGTGAGATCTTGTTTAATGCGTCTCATTGTAAATTTAATTATATCAAATTTTTATAATACTCTGTAGTTTCAGGTATAGAAATTGAGATACACAAGTATATGTTTTAAGATATATCTTGAATCTTGATTACCTTGAAAATTCAATGGGACAAAAAATAGGGACGCATGGAGTATCTAATATAATTAAGCAAAGTGTTAGGGTGATCCATGGAACTTTTTGTATAATAAGGGAAAAAAAATCAATCATGGGGATCTATTTTGATCGATATAGATTTTTGACTAAGGGCATGTTCACATTTATTGAACTGAGCTGAACTGAACAGAATTGAAATGAGCTGAAATGAATATTTATGAAAGAAGGAAATCAGGATCTGAACTGAAGTGAACTAATTGGAGCTGAACTAATTTGAACTGAACTGAACTGAAATTAAGCTGGAGTGAACATGCCCTAAGTGTTATACTACTAAGCAATAAAACAGAAATTACTTATCTCTTGATGCGTGAACCAAAGTGACAATAGCCGCGTCGTGGAGAACCACTGACCTAAAAGACAATTCCGCGCTACCTCCCGGTGCAGTAGACTAGAAGCAGTCGCCCTCCAGGATAAGCACGGCGCCGGAGTTTATGTGCACTCACAAACCCGCCTGGAACTCAGAATACTTGCCCGAATTTAACTAGTGTAAATACTATGGCTTTAGCCTAATAATATAATCAGTCTTTTCTTTGTGTTAAAAAAAATGTCGTGTTTATGATTGAATTTTCTTATACACAGTATGAAATTACGTAAAGAATTCAATTATTTAGATGGCACGACTAATGTAAACTCAGAACAGTAGAAACTCGTGTTTAGATAATTTGAGAGAAGAGAGATAACTGATTGTGTTATGTGTTTTTGACGGGAAAAAGCAACGAGTATATATAGGCAGTAGAGGGGAGACATGAAACGTAAAACGAGGGACGAATCTGGCTAAGAAACGACCAGATTCATTCAACCAGTCAACAACGGAAGCAAGAAACAAGGAATTAATCAGTCAGCTATAATCAAGGGATTAATGACTGACTTAATTCCGTAATCCCAACAGTCAGAAAAGAATATTCCCAAAAGACAAAAAAGAATATTCTGTTTAACAAAGAAAAGGAAATAAAATTTCTCCAAAAAGATAACAAGGACCCACGCCCGCGCATCGCATTCCCCAAGGCCCGAGCCCGACCCGGCCCGGCTCGGCACGCGAGCGCGCGTGTGTGTGGATTAACACTTAACTCCCACTCACTCAACTAAGTAGTGTTAAGGCACTACAATATAAAAACAAGGAAAAACCTTTCCCCCCAACCAATGTGGGATTTTCCCCTTTCATTTGTTTTTCTCTCTCTCTTGTTTTTTCCCAACCCTCTTATTTTATATCAAGAACTTCCAACAATCCCCCACAGGTTCGAAGATATGAAAAAGAAAGGAAGGAAAAGATGAGTTCTGGGCAAAACAAAACAATTGCATAAGTGTCAATGTCTCGCGACTTGAATTAACACATAGTGGACATCAAGCTATGACCCCTCACCTACCAAGTGACTTTCGTCTTGAACTCAATAGGGAGTTAGGGACCCGTCACTTTGAGCCACACAATTGAACATGTATAATATTCTGAAATTCCGCGAATAAAGATGACGCATTATACTGGCCATACGTCCAGCCTGGATGCTCATAGGTGCTCTAGAGTATAAGCCCACGAAATACTCATAGGAAGCGGCCATACTTCCACACCTAAGTAGGTGAACTCCATCAAGTGTGAGCTACAACACACCTCCAAAAAAATGGATATAGGTTCATTAAGAGCCATATGCTCAACCTCCTTCTCATTTGTAGCTAAGCACAACAAACATCTAGAGATGGTCCAATAAAAATAAAATGTGCTTCCGAATTATTATATAATGTTCCCCTTTGAACTCATGGGGAGTAGGAGTTCACTATTTCACAATTCATACAACGGGCTTTAGCTCCATCTCTTCCAATGTTTCCAAAACTAGTTTTTTACATAGGCCTTTAGTTAACGGATCCGCAATGTTCTTTTCGGACTTAACATAGTCCAGTGATATCACCCCTTCAGACAAAGGATTTCTGACGGCTTTATGCCTCGGACGGATGTGTCTCTTCTTCCCATTAAAGGCATGGTTGTGAGCAACAGCAATAGCAGCTTGCGAATCACAATGAAGTGCAACTGAAGGAGCTGGCTTCCCCCACAGCGGAATATCTGCAAGCATGTTCCTCAACCATTCTGCCTCATGACCTGCCAATTCAAGAGCAATAAATTCAGATTCCATAGTAGACATAGCAGTACAAGATTGCTTATAAGATTTCCAGAATACAGCTCCACCACCAAGGGTGAAGACATAGCCACTAGTGGAGTTAACTTCATCATTATCGGATACCCAGTTGGCATCACAAAAACCTTCCAAAACTCCAGGAAATTTGGAGTAGTGCAAACCCCAATCCGCAGTACCCTTAAGGTACCTAAGCAACCTCCTAAGAGCAATCCAATGATCACTGCTTGGGTTATGAGTGCACCTGCTAAACCTACTAACAGAATAAGCAATGTCAGGTCTAGTGTAGTTCTTTAGAAACATAACACTACCAATAATTCGAGCATACTCAAACTGATTAACTAGATCACCATTATTTTTCTTTAGGTGGAAACTTGGGTCATATGGAGCCTTAACTGGATCGACATTAAATGAGTCAAACTTTTTAAGAAGCTTTTCAACTTGTGACTGATTAAGACAGATGCCTTTTGGAGTCCTTTTTTATTTTTACTTCCAAAATCACAGCTGCCTCACCCATGTCTTTCATTTCAAAATTCGAACTCAAAAACTGTTTTGTCTCATTTACTCGATCCAAGTCAGTTCCAAAAATCAACATATCATCCACATAAAGACAAATAATTACACAACCATGACTATCATGCTTAAAATAAACACAAGAGTCACCTTCATTAACATGAAAACCATTACCAGTCATAGTCTTATCAAATTTGTCATGCCATTGCTTTGGAGCTTGCTTGAGCCCATACAATGACTTGACTAACTTACAAACCTTGTTCTCTTGGCCTAGAACAACAAACCCTTCAGGTTGGACCATATAAATCTCCTCATCCAAGTCACCATTCAAAAACGCAGTTTTGACATCCATTTGATGAACAACAAGATAAAAAATATGCAAGCAAGAGCAATTAAAGTCCTAATGGTTGCAATTTTAGTAACTGGGGAGTAAGTATCAAAATAATCAATGCCAAACTTTTGAGTAAAACCCCTCACTACTATCCTTTCCTTATACTTGTCTATGGATCCATCGGCCTTTAATTTTTTCCGAAAGATCCATTTACATGTAATGGGCTTACAACCTCTAGGAAGTTCAACCAATTCCCAAGTGTTATTATTGAGAATTGATTGTAATTCACTACCAATTGCTTCTTTCCAAAAAAACAGCATCAACTGACCTCATTGCCTCATCATAGGTTCTTGGATCATCTTCCAAAAAAAAATATATGCACAAAATCATCATCAATTAAGGAAGATTCAGATAAATAGGAAGTAATAAAATCACGACCAAAACTGTTTTCCTTTCTTGCCCTTTTGCTTCTCCTTGGCTCCAAAACAGAATCATCGTTAGTAATAGGAGCATTAGCAATAGGTAAACTAACAGAACTACTAGCATGTAATCCACTATCATTAGAAGGAGACATTTTCAAAGGAAAAATGTTCTCAAAGAACTCAGCATCTCTCGCTTCAATGATATGACCACCTGCATAAGAGTCGTTAGCACCTTTAACAAAGAAACGATAAGCTGCACTTTGATAAGCATAGCCAATAAAAATAGCATCAACAGTTTTGGGACCAATTTTATCCCTCTTGAAACTAGGTATGCCTACTTTTGCTAGGCACCCCCACACTTTCAAGTATTTCAGATTTGGCGCTCGACCCTTCCATATTTCGTATGGAGTCTTGTCAAGATTCTTGTGAGGAACCCTGTTCAAAACATGACAAGTAGAAAGAATAGCCTCCCCCCACATGTTATTAGGAAGCCCAGAACTAATAAGCATAGAATTCATCATATTCTTTAAAGTTCTATTTTTCCTTTCAGCTATACCGTTTTGTTCGGGTGAATAGGGAGCTGTTGTCTCATGAACAATGCCAAGTTGCTCATAAAGTGCCTTAAGAGTGTCAGGGCTGTACTCACCACCCCTGTCACTCCTAACCCTCTTAATCTTTTTGTCCAATTGGTTTTCTACCTCAGCTTTATATTTGAGGAACATTTCCTCAGCTTCGTCCTTAGACCTGAGAAGATAAACCATACAAAAACGTGAGCAATCATCAACAAAAGTAATGTAATACTTTTTACCCCCTCTACTTTCGTGATTGTTAAAATCACCCAAGTCACTATGAACAAGTTCTAGTACTTCAGTCTGTCTATCTACTGATTTAAATGGCTTCTTTGTAAATTTGGCTTCAACACAAATTTGACATTTCGAAAAATCAGTGTTGGAAAAACTTGGAATCAAATTTAAGTTTTTAAGCCTTTTAATAGAATCAATATTAACGTGACCTAATCTAGCATGCCATAAATCAATAGACTCAGCAATATAAGCAGAAGAAGTACTAGCATTCTTATTCATAGTGTCAATTTTAACATCAACAGTAAAAAGCCCCCCATTACAAAAGCCCTTTCCCACAAATTCCCCATTGCGAGTAAGAACTAATCTATCAGAATCAAAAGAGAGCTTCAGTCCAGCTTTCATGAGTAAACTGCCAGAAATTAAATTCCTGCGCATTTCTGGAACATGCAAAACATTAGTCAGAGTAAGCAATTTTCCAGAAGTGAGAGTGAGAACGATCTTCCCTTTGCCTTGGATAGAAGCAGAAGCTGAGTTGCCCATGAAAACATTTTCACCTTCAACCTTGTCATAGGTAGTGAACATGTCCTTGTTGGCGCAGATGTGTCTGGTAGCTCCAGTGTCAACAATCCACTCAGCTCAACAATCCACTCAGCAGCATTACCTGTAAAGTTAGCTTCTAAAACAACAGCAACAATAACGTCAAAATCCTCAATAAGATTTGCTTGACTTTTCCCACTGTTCTTCTTCTTGACCCTGCAATCCTTAGCCTTGTGACCAGTCAAACCACACTCAAAACAAGTACCCTTAAACTTGTACTTCTGAACCTTCCCTTTAGGCTTAAGAGAACTGTTATTGGCTTTGGACTGGTTGTTGTGTTTGGGTTCAACAAGATTGGCTTTGGCAGAGGAAGAGGAAGGAAAAACAGAAGGGGTTTTGTCTTTGATACGGTTTTCCTCCTCAATTTTGAGGTGAGCAGCAAGCTCCTCTAAGGTTACGTCTTTCTTTTTGTGCATGAGTTGGTTACGAAAATCCTTCCAAGAGGGAGGGAGTTTCTCAATCAGAACAATAGCAAGGGTAGTATCACAAATAGACAGACCTTCAGCAGCCATATTAATATAAACACTCTCATAAGCATGAATCTGATCAATAATAGGCTTATCATCAACAACTTGAAAACTTAACCACTTACTAACACAATAACGTTTAGTATCAGCATCATCAGTCCCATATTTTTTCTCTAAAGCATCCCAAATATCCTTAGCATGATAAAAACCCATATAAATATCCAACAGATTATTTGACATATAATGCAACAACATGCCTTTACAAGTTCTATCATCCTTAGCAAATTTAACATCAGTTTCAGACAAATTATCCTTATCATCAGGTTCAACAATATCATCAAGAACATATGCAACATCAATTTTCTCCAAATAAAAACGCATCCTAACAGCCCAACGTTTATAATTCTTTCCATCAAGAGGTTCTAACTTAGACTTATCAGGAATCAGAAACTTGGAAGCCATAATCGTCTTTTAGATTGTTATACTACTAAGCAATAAAACAGAAATTACTTATCTCTTAATGCGTGAACCAAAGTGACAATAGCCGCGTCGTGGAGAACCACTGACCTAAAAGACGATTCCGCACTACCTCCCGGTGCAGTAGACTAGAAGCGGTCGCCCTCCAGGATAAGCACGGCGCCGGAGTTTATGTGCACTCACAAACCCGACTGGAACTCAGAATACTTGCCCAGAAAACAGAACAGTAGAAACTCGTGTTTAGATAATTTGAGAGAAGAGAGATAACTGATTGTGTTATGTGTTTTTGACTGGAAAAAGCAACGAGTATATATAGGCAGTAGAGGGGAGACATGAAACGTAAAACGAGGGACGAAACGGAAGCAAGAAACAAGGAATTAATCAGTCAGCTATAATCAAGGGATTAATGACTGACTTAATTCCGTAATCCCAATAGTCAGAAAAGAATATTCCCAACAGACAAAAAAGAATATTATGTTTAACAAAGAAAAGGAAATAAAATTTCTCCAAAAAGATAACAAGGACCCACGCCCGCGCATCGCATTCCCCAAGACCCGAGGCCCGAGCCCGACCCGACTCGGCTCGGCGCGCGCGCGTGTGTGTGGAGTAACACTTAACTCCCACTCACTCAACTAAGTAGTGTTAAGACACTACAATATAAAAACAAGGAAAAACCTTTCCCCCCAACCAATGTGGGATTTTCCCCTTTCATTTGTTTTTCTCTCTCTCTTGTTTTTCCCCAACCCTCTTATTTTATATCAAGAACTTCCAACACTAAGTAGGTCCTTTAGTATAACATTAGAGTTAGATCCACGACTGGAGTCTTGATAAATTGGGTTTAAATGAGATTAGGGGTGGTTTTGAACATGTGCAAGGTGAGTGACCACGCAAAATTTTATTTCATTTTATGAAGTATTCCTTTTCCACTATATATATATTATCTCCGTTAACTATTATATATATATATATATAGGGGAAGACTCTCGTGAGAATTTTTCTTATATGATAATTTTTCTTATGTGAGAACACTCTTTATGTTCTAAATTTTTACTCGTATGTTCTAAATTTTAAATCTGATGTTCTAAACTTTTTTTAGGTGTTCTAAATTAAATCAAATGTTCTAATTTATTACTCACATGTTCTAAACCATAAATTAGTTAAGCTTGATGTCATAAATTTTAAATAACTTGTTCCAAACTTTTAACTTTTATGTTCTAAATTTTAAAACGTGTGCTCTAAGATTTTTAATTATATGTTCCAGATTTTCTAATATTTTTTAATTATATGTTCCAGATTTTAAAGCGTATGTTCTATTTTTTTTACTCATATGTTCTAAATTCTTTACTCACACTTTCTATATTCAATATCAGTTTGTTCTAAATTTTTATTCACATGTTCATAATCTTAAATCAAGTGTTCTAAATGTTACTCATATGTTTAAAATTTCATAAAGCATATTTTATAAATTTTTAATCACTTGTTCTAATTCTTAAATCAGATGTTCTAACATATTACTCACACAAATGTTCTAAATTATTACTCATATGTTCAAAATTTTAATTTGAGTCACATGTTCTAAATTTTAACTCATATGTTCTTACCCACATGTTCTAAATTTTAAATCAGTTCTCATATAAGTATGAATTATCACATATGGACCTATTCTCACCGGATTCCTCCCCTATATATATATTATTGTCATTTTCAGCATTTGTGGAAAGTGTTGAAAACGTATGTTTGTACAATGTTCCATGATACATCAATATGTAAATGTAACTGAATTAAAAAAAAAAAAAGGAACCTCAATGCATGTGGGGCAAAGTAGTGTTGAAGCATTATAATAACCTTCCAAAAACACACATACGAGTGTCCTACGAAGTCATGATAAAATAATAGAGAGTTATTAATCACTTTAAAATGGTAAAATGTTATTCTTTTTATTGTCATATGACACTTACTAAGTATTACTGTATTAGCCTTAAAAAGTAGATTCTTTTAATGATAGATTGGTGTGGCCAATGGCCTAGGTTCATTTTTAACATAGTATGTGTATAATGTGTATAACGTAGAAACGTGGGCAACAACAAAATAATTGGAGTACGAGAATAATAATTAAAGTTTAGAATAAAGTTGATTATGAGTAATAGCCATTATTTTTTTGTAACATTCCTGACTATTCAAGCTGAAATATGCAATTTCAAGTCATATAATCATGAGTCTATTAATTTTTTTTTCTACGTAGGGATGAAGCATTGGAATACTTGAGAAGTACCGAAAATGTGATAAGAAAACTTTGTAACATACTAATGAAGGGATTAAACGTCCATGAGATTGATGGGCAAAAGGAGTCTCTTTTGATGGGTTGCAAGAGAATGAACCTAACTTTTTACCCTAAGTGTCCAAACCCTGAGTTAACCTTTGGTACCGGTCCTCATTCAGATGCATCAATCATCACCATACTTCTTCAAGACGACGTTGGTGGCCTCTATGTTCGACGGTTTGATGATGAGAGTTGGATTCATGTGCCTTCTATCGATGGTGCTCTCGTTGTCAATGTTGGCGACGTGCTTCAAATACTTAGCAATGGCAAGTATAAGAGTGCGGAGCACCTTGTTATCCCTAATGCAAGCAAGAGTAGAGTTTCGGTCCCAATTTTTGTGCATCCAACTTCAAATGATGTTATTGGTCCGTTACAAGAGATTATAGATAAAGGAGCAAAGCCCATCTATAAAGATGTTCTTTTCTCCGATTATATTGGGCACTTCTTTAGTAAGCCTCATGATGGTAAGGCTACGGTTGAGTTTGCTAAGTTCTAATGTTAATGATCATGTGTCATTCAATATTAATAATAAATAAAGATGAAAGGGTGAGGGATAGCTCAAGTGGTTAGACGATTAGAGCTTCCCTTCCGATTTGTTCTATTTTAGTAGACTTGTTGCATCTAAAACCCTTATCAGTACATAACTTTAATCATTAATATCTTTAATTTTAGAAAATAATGACTATAAAAATAGATATTATAGAAGTATATATGTAATGAAACAATTTTAAGAACATTTCACATGACTTCTTTAATTTTTAGTTACTAGTATAACCTTAGTTGTATACTACCTCCATTAATTTTTAGTTGCAACAACGGGTATTATTTGTAAGACAAAAAAAAAATCTTTTATTGCAACTAAAAATTAACGGCGTTAATACTTTTTTTTTTCCAGGAAAAGTTGTTATTATACTTGCATTATACATCTATGCTAAACTAATCTAATCTATATCTATACTTAGCATTTAAAAATTCTAACCGGAAAATACACATGTCTCCATTTTGTTACACTTTTCTAGCTTCTTTTACACTAGATGTGCCACATGTCTTCTTATATATTTTTTTTAATTTTCTATTATACTATCTTAATTATTTCATTAATCTTATATTTTCATCTCTCTCATACACGCTTCATATTCATCTCCGATCCCCTATTCAATTCAACCTTTTTCTTTTCTCTCTTTAATTTTAGTCCCTTCACCTTCTTTTTTTAAAGTCATTTTAAATTAGAGCCCTAAAAATCTAATTTCTTTAACTATATTTTAGATTACACATTCCTCGATCATTACCTTTCAATACAACTTTCTATAATCAACACGTGCATTGCACGGGCTAGAAAACTAGTTTAAATAATATGGAGTATTGCCTTTTAAAAAATCCAAACTTTATTGATTTATTTCATGACCAAATTGATTGAAAATAATAAATAAATAAATAAATAATCAATGTTGGACAAAAAGTAATAAGGTCAAATGGGTTAACATTTGGAGAGAGACCAAGAGACAAGTACTTAGACACTTTCATATTGTGCTCGATTTAGGCAATATGTTGGGCTTATAAATGTAATTAGTCTCTGACTTTGCATCAACAACTTTGGCCCAAAACGAAAAAAAATAAAATGTTGACTAGCGCTTTTTTTTTTTTTTTTGAAAGAAGTCTTAAGAACATTAAATTTCATTAATAATAGCCATACGGTATCTACAATTGACAATTAACGATAATGAAAACGAATTTAGCAAAATCAAACAAGTATTAATCGAGGAAGGGCTAAGAATCCAAATACATAAATATAACAATTCGGCACATTCTCGGTTCGTTGTCTCATACAACTTTTTGAGTGGATCCGTCGCCGCTTCGTAATTTTGTGAGAAAGAAAATTCTTGTGTTGACTCCGTAACCCGAATTCGAGCCATAATCAATAGTAGCCCCGCACAACCAGAGACAAAATTAAACATAAATAAAACCTTGTCTTTCAACGGAGTCCGAAAAACCTTGTCTTTCGAAGGAGATCGAAAAAACCTTGTCTTTCGAAGGAGATAAACCCTTTCTTTCGAGGGAGACATTATTGTAACCTAGAACAAATTAAAAAACTTGAAAGAAAATAAAATTTGTGGCTTTCCACCGGTGAAATCCGATGGAAGCCCCTTCAAAATTGACAATGGAGTAAAGTTTTAACTAGCGCTTTTTGAATAAGAGGTTTCCAATAGCTTTTTTTTTATTTTTTATTATTTATTTATGTATTTTATTTTATTCAAATGAGGCAAAGCCAAGGGAAAATAACACACTACAATAAAACAAGGAAAACAAAAGACACCTACGGAGGAGCTAGGGCGTGGAAAAGTCACTCCTAAAGATGGGCACGGTACGGTGGTGGCACGGCCCGGCCCGAGCCTGCCAACGGCACGGAAGGACACTGTGATCGAAAGTGGGTCGTGGGCCGTGCCGTGAACACAATTCTGAAAAATCGGAAGTGGCATGCACGATAATTTGGTCCGCAGGACGACCTGTCGGCACGGTCCGTGCAAAACAACAGTAATTCGCTGCTTCCAACAGCCATAAAATGACTATAAAACGGCTATAATAATATATTAATAATAAAATTAACATACGTAAACATAAACATAAAGAACTATAATAATAAAAAAAATAAGAATAGTAAAAAGAACTATAATAATATAATTAATACCAAAACATAAACAAAAACATAAATTTATAAAATTAGTTAAATATACTCATTTTAAAAGTTGTTCAAAAAAATATATATCTATTTTTTAAAAAAAAATAAAAAAAAAGTATGGGCAGCCCATTGCCCAGCCTGGCCCGGCACACCAGGCATGTATTTCGTGCCGCGCCCTGGGCTGGGGTGTGCCAAATGGTGGCCCAGCACGGCACGACCTGCCAAGTTGCAGCCACGACATGGCCCAGCACGAGCCTCAACGAGGCACGACCCGTAGTGGCCCGGTACGGCCCGTTACCCACTTCTAGCCATTCCCGTAGCATCCTCTTCTAAAATACTATCAAGTCCTAATAAAGAAATAAAACTAAGAATATCTAAATCCTTTTCTTAAGAGACTTCACGGGTGACCAACCAATCCGCCACGCGATTACCTTCATGAAAAATATGAGTTACCTTCGTTTCCCGACTACCATTATCTAGCATTGAAATGCATCGTGTAAGCTCATGCACGCTTTCCCCAGCAGTTTCCAATAGATGGCTTTATTACAATTGTCTTTAAAATTCTAAATGAGGGAAAATCTGGAAGTTTGGTTTCCATTTGAAAAGATAACATGTTAACCTATTGTAGAGCTGATCACGCTCAGCTCAGCTCCTTGGCCTGGCCCGATTTTGGGCGGGTTTTAGGTAGAATTTTTGGCCTGAAATTGGGTCGGGCTCGGCCCGGCCCGATTTTAAAAAATGTTTGGACGGGTTTGGGAAATAGATTTTATGCATTTTTAGTTTTTTTTTTTTTTGCTAGACCCGAAATTGTCCTAAAAATCCCGCATGGCCCGACTAGTTTGGGCACAATTTTTCCGGCCCAAAGCTTGGCCTGGCTCGAGAAATGGATAGTTTTTTTTTACCTCGGCCTGACCAGGCCCACCCATTGATCACTTCTAACCTATTGGAGTACTATAAGGATTAGGTATGTTATTTTTTATTGCCAACTCAATAAAAATAACAACTAGCAATTGCATACTAACTTACCAAAGCGCTCTCTATATATACACTGTACAATTAGTCGCTAGATAGCTTGTTTTGTGCGTGGTTGGTCACACTGTGTGACTACAAATAAAAGAACAAACTAAACTCCTATAACACTGATCAAGTAACCTCTAAAATACTGAACGAGTAACCCCTATAATACTGGTTATGTAATCCTAAAACAATAATAAAGTAACCCTTTTAACACTGACCAAGTAACCCCTGTAGTGGTTGGCCATATCGTGTGACCAACCACATATAAAACTTTGTAATTGCTAAAACTACCTCCATTTCATATTACAACTTTGAAGTAAATTTTTTATTTTTTATTATTTTTTTTAGAGAAAAACTTTGAAATATTTTATTTTTTATACCATAAAGTTGCAAATAATATGAAATAAAGGTAATACTAATTGCTAATCAAAGCATATAATTCAATTTGTTAGTAAAATCAACAAATGTGATCAATTATTGGTACTCCTCCGTCCCTAAATTACATCCTCCTTTCTATTTTGGGTATTACAAAATTACATTCCACCTTTCTATTTTTAGTAAAAAAAATTCTAGATATCCCAAATACACTCTCTTTTTCAGTTGTACTTTTAATGTATAATTAATGTATTTACATTCCACTTTTAATGTTTGGTTGACTAATGTACTTTTCAGCCTTTAATTTTTTAGAATCCTTGTGCCAAATTACAATGAATATGATTGGTTAAAAATTTTCAATTAGGAGCATGTGATTGGTCCTTTTATTTTGCAAAGGATTGATGACATGTCATGAGTAAGAGGTCTTCCTAAGGAAGGTTAGTTATGTATGACGAAATACATAACGAGGGGCACGGTGGTCTTTTAACATGAATTTTGAAAATTCCTAAAGAGCATCTCTGTTTTGCTAGGTGACACCCCGTTTCTGTACTTGAAACAAATATAGTATTATATTGTCCTTGGTAAAAGAGCCCTATTTGGATCTTGCGTTTTACTCTTGCGGAGTCTGTCTCTCTCCTCTATTCAGTGTTCTTCTTCATTTTCCTTCTCTCTCTGTCTCTCCCTCTCTCCTGCAATTTGTTTGTTTATTTTGATTTCGGAGTCATTATTTCCTAAGTTAAATCCTCCATCTTTGGTAAGTTATATCAGCCGTCTTTGGTGGGCGAAGCATTTGCGCTGCTTTTAGGCTTGCTGGGAGAGCTGGGTACCGGAATTGGCGAGTTGGAGCCCTAATTTGTTGGGTTTTAAGGTTGGTTTTTTATACTTTATATACTTGTTATGTTAATTTTGCCGAAAATGGTTTAGAAAATTCTTTTATTCTACGAATTTGTGTTTTAGGTGAGTGGTTAAGTGATAGTGGTGGTTTTAATTGTGATGGTAATAATAGTTAAGCAGTAATTGGATTTGTATTTTGCCATTAATTGGGTGTTTTGAATATAATTTATACCCAATTTTACGAATTAGGGTTATTGGTAACTCAAAGGGGCTTGATGGATTATTGCATGTGTTGTTTAATTTGAAGTTGATACTCGCATTGCTTTTGTTCGTTCGTTATGTTGTGTATGTTTTGTAGGTATTTTATATGTTAGCATTTTTTTTATTGAGAGCGTGAGAGGTTGTCACCCATGTGAAAGGGATAGTTGTTTGTCTGATATTTTAATGGTAAAAATAGGGCTTGGTGGGAGTGTTAGTTAGTAAAGGAGCATTTTTTAATGTTGAACTGGAGTATATATATTTGATTATTCTATTGCGCATTATATTATGTTGAAGTAGGGATTGTTGTTTGTGTGATTTTTCAATTGCGCATTTTATTATGTCGAACTAGGGATTGGTGTTTGTGTGATTATTCAATTGTGCATTTTATAATGTTGAACTAGGGATTGCTATTTGTGCGTTTATTGAATTGAGAATTTTATAACCGAATAGAGCAATTTTCAATGCTGAAAGTAGGGTTTTGGTGTTTGTATGATCATAACATTTGTATGAATGGGTATGTTGTGCTTACTTGTTGATGTAATCTTGAAATAA